AAAGAGAGATCTGTTTTAACTACCTGCCACATAAGTAAGTACATTCCAATCAGTTTTCTGAATTTGCTACAAGAAAAAGACTTGATTTACATTTTTTTTAATTTCACATTATAAATCCATTTCTTTTAGATCACATAATTTTTAAAGCTTAATTGGATTGATATTATACAGTTTGTGGTGGTTTGTCTGAGCTGACCAGTTCCAAGTAAGAAAACATTGCAATATCACACTTACAAGAACACTGCAAAAATATGGAGAATGTAAACCTTCCCTCTCATTACTTTTGTTGTTGTTGGCCACAATGGTTGACTTGAATGGTTTTGTTTGAGCTGCTTTCATCTGTTGCTCCTGCCTGGACATGATGCATAGATGAAACTGTTGGATTTCCAAAACTAGAAGCCAAAATTCTAGTATTGGAGTGACAAATCCCATATATGATAGTTTACCATACCAAGTATGAGCATGCAGACATTTGGAAAAATGCTCCATAAAATATCGACCTTCTGGCAGTTAAAAACTGAAGAAATAGTGCAATTTATAAAATTAAAGACTACTAATTAAATCTGTTTACAGTAATAAGTATCATAATATTAATTGGAATCATAAGAACCTAAAAGTGAAAAAGTCATTTGCTCTGTTTGTCCTATTTGTTGTTGTAGTGGCTAGTATTTCCTGATCTTAACTGATATGGGATAGATCTTGTCATAAATTGCAGAGCTAAGAAGGATATAGGTTAGCTCTCATTCCTCATATCTGCTATCAACTTTTTACATATAAATGTCCTGCAATCTAATAACAATGTCAAATGGCTTGATCTAGGGCTTGTTGATAACTAGCATTTGGAAATATTATTCTGAAAGCTCTTCTTTGTATAGATTCAACAGCATCAGAAAGGTATTTATGTACACAAGATATCTATTAAGAAAAAAGGAAAAATATTATGCCATTGGTTTTGTTGTCTTTGTAGCTCCAGTGAAGATAACTGATCAAGTAAGAGGTGACCAAGTAGTACCTAAAGGGGGAGACCTCCACTTGTTCTGTAAGGTAACTGGTAGGCCAGCACCAAATATTACCTGGACCAGAGTCCCTACTGGTGTTAGCACTGAAATAAAGCACTATGGACCCACTTGGGATTTTACAAACATTAATGTCACTGATTCTGGAACATACAGCTGCGTAGCTGATAATAAAGTCGAGGATCCTGTTAGAGGCCAAGCAGTTAAAGTGATTGTTGTTGGTAAGTATATTTTGATACAGAGCTTTGATCCTGTGAAGCCATTCAATCACAAATGGAGAATTTCACTCTTTCAGTCAGTTTATTAAGACTCAAAGAGCTGAGACAAATTGTCTCCTGGTTAAAAGTGCTTAGTGTGCATGTTAACCTTTTGACTCCTAAGAATGATTAGCATCTAAATTCTCCTTACAATATCACCTCTGAATCACACATTAAAGTCACTAGATTAAAGGAAATGATCAACAACTAACGAAGCTCTTGATTGTTCAACAAATTCTCCTTGTCCACTCCCAAGGAAATGTGTAGAGAACAGTATGGAGAATATACGGCTGAAATTAGGGTGTGAAGGGTTAAGGCTGATAGTTTCTAAAGAAAGTGTTTGGGGCTGCGTCGGTGGGGGTAACGAAATAATTTGAATATATGAACAAAGTTGAAATGGTAAATTGGCCACCGTTACGATTATAAAAGCTGACGTTTCGAGCGTTAGCCCTTCCTCGGAGCGAATAGAGGAATTGTGGGTTGTGTGTGCTTTTAAAGGCAGAAAATGGAGGTACGTTATTGGTGGGAAGGGTTAAGGTCATAAGAATGTCGCCCGTGGGTTTTATTCTGGGGACATGGATGCACTCCGCGCGTCTTGCTCAGGTAGTGAACGAAATAATTTGGATATATCAACAAAGTTGAAATGGTAAATTGGCTACCGTAACGATTACAAAAGCTGACGTTTCGAGCGTTAGCCCTTCGTCGGAGCGAATAGAGGAATTGTGGGCTGTGTGTGCTTTTAAAGGCAGAAAATGGAGCTACGTTATTGGTGGTAACATGGCAACGAGAAAAACAAGCTGAAACACAAGCTGAAACCTTGTGCCAAAGACCGCGAGGTTGTCTAAACTCCTTTTGTCTTTTTCATTTTCACTGTTTTTGAGTCGAGAAAAATAGCAAATTATTCGAGAAACAAAAACTGCCACAAGACTAGAAGTAAACTCATGCGAGACGAATGAGCTAACTTTAATATGACTCACAAATCATGGACAAGTGGAGCTTCTGCGTGAACTTCGTCTATTATATACTTTGGTCAAGTTATGCTCAAGAAATAAGATGGATAAAAGCCACAATTCTAAGAAACGTCGCGCTGCATCGTATCAGAACCTGTTATTGTAATTTCGTTTTTCTAAATTGTGTTGGTCCACGTTTTGTCGACACTACCCATGGGTTTCATGAAATTTACGCTCAATTCGCCCACATGCAAACTCGACCACACAGAAGATGATTCGCCCACACGATATCAGTTAACTCGCCCACATCCAGAAAATTTGTCTTATCCAAAATCAATTCGAAGGAAGTTCATTCACGTTCTAATGTTAACATGTAAGCAGCGCGTAGACAAAGTTTTAGTTTGTCACGCACCATATCTTGTTAGTCACACACGCATGCTTCTAGGCGGGTTCGGACTGGGTAGTTGTATGAAATGCACAGATCCATCTTTTACGCGAGTGTTTTTCGTTGCTATTGAAGCGGTTAAGAGATTTCTGATCGCTAAACATTCCTTTTCTACACAGCGTCGGATCGAAAAAATAGAATGAAATTAATCTTATTGGTTATCTCGTAACAATATGGACCCGCGATGTTACAATTACAGCAATTAAGACAATACCTCCAAAAAAAATGGCACCTCCTTTTCTTGAGTACTGCTTATTGTTGTTTCGATTGAATGGAATTTGCATTACTATACTTGTGACTTTCTCGCTTCTTGCAAACAAGTTCGTAACTAAAGCTATACTTAGCAAAGAAAGAAAGGACCCACGCAGACATATTTTATTGAAAACCAAGTAAATATTGTTTCAACGCGAGTGCCGCCTTGGGTTGTTTGATTGAATTTGCATTACTTGTGACTTTCTCACCTCACCTCGCGCCGGTTTTTTAGCTGGCCCAACAATCTTAACGCAGAAGTTGAAGACTTGTAGATGTTATTAATAAACATGTTTATCGTAATACGTTTGCGAACTGGACTTTAGCATGCGTGTGTGACTAACAAAATTTTGGTGCGCGACAAACTAAAACTTAGTCTACGCGCTGTCACAAACAAGTAAGTAACCTAAGCTACAAGGTGTTAGTGAACTAAGATTAGAACAAGAATGAACAACAATCTTAACGCAGAAGTTGAAGACTTGTAGATTTTACTGATTAATAAACATGTTTATCATAAGACGTTTGCGAACTGGACGTTAGCATGCGTGTGTGACTAACAAAATTTTGGTGCGTGACAAACTGAAACTTAGTCTACGCGCTGTTCACGTGCTGGCGTCGGCGAGAATGAATGTCGCAAACAAGTAAGTAACCTAAGCTATGAGGTGTTAGTGAACTAAGATTAGAACGAGAATGAACAACTATCTTAACGCAGAAGTTGAAGACTTGTAGATTTTACTGATTAATAAACATGTTTATCATAAGACGTTTGCGAACTGGACGTTAGCATGCGTGTGTAACTAACAAAATTTGGTGCGTGAGAAACTAAAACTGGCTACGCGCTGTTTACGTGTTACAATTAGAACGTGAATGAACGTCCTTCGAATTGATTTTGGATAAGACAAATTTTCTGGATGTGGGCGAGTCAACGGATATTGTGTGGGCGAGTTTGCTTGTGGGCGAATTTCACCGGTTACCGTTTCATGCAAGGGACGTGCATGATCACAGCAAGTCTGTTGTTCATGCAGTGAATAAACGAAACAGAGGACTAAACCTCAGGCCCATCTGAAATGGATTTTGGAATTCCTAAGAATTCTTAGAATTGTTCTTGGAATTCCTAGGAATTTTTTCCTAGGAATTACTGGGATAAGAGGCGTGAATTTTCAAGGGTAAATTTGAACCGGGAATTCCTAGGAATTCTTAACTGCAATAACTGTGGTCCTAAAAACCTAGAAATTCCTAAAAATTCCACATTTATTCCCGCCAGCAGGACTTCAGTTGGAATCCCTGGGAACTCCAACTTAGAGCTCCACTGACTTCCCTGAGAGACTGTAACTCTGAAAACTTGCCAGAAACTCCTAGGAATTTTCAGGAATTTCAAGGAATGTGTAAGAATTATTGGGAATTTTAGGAAAGCTTTGAGGCAACCAATATAAAAGAAATACATGCATTAACTCCAAACTAAAGATTCAAGTAGTTAATGAAATTTATTTCCAGGTTTACATGTAAATTATTTTCTATTGCATATTAATATTAACATGTGCTAATATTAGGATGAAATTTGATTTCTTTTACTTTTCTTGAAAACTTCATAAAAATTATCCTCAATTACAGCTATTCATTTAAAATAGTCCTAATGAATAATTAAATTTGGTTTTACGCAAATTGTGATTAAAATCTGTTGATTCTTTTTCATGAAATACAATAACTTGAGATATGTTAATTGTAATAAATACCGCTAGTCAAAAAATAGTCTTATAATGAATCATTTAATTTGGAATGATGATACAAATGGTATTTTATACTTTCCTTCCAGAGTCAGGCTTTGACTTGATTTTATGTGGTTGTAACTTCTTCGGATAAAATTCTTGTGTGTTAAAATTCAAATTTAAACTGCAGGGCTTTCAGTAGAAGCCGGCTACCGCCGGAGCTCCGGCGGCTGCGAGTCATCGAGTCACCGGCTACTTAGCCATGTTTGTCAACAAATACTTCAAAAATATAACTCTTATAATGTTTATAGCCTACCCATTTCTCAATTGAAATAAATCTTATAAAATATAGCGCACACTTGCCTTGAGAGTTTTAGAAGAAAGCATATATCAACACGATTTCTGTACTGCGACGGATCGGAACTGGTTGAGAAACGCTCAGCCATCTTCAGCCGTATCCTAATGAAAATTAACCTCGCTCCCAAACTATTATCACGTGGTTGGTTAAACAAAGATGGCGGCCAAGCGCAGCCTGGGACAGAGTGAATGGTTTGCATTCTTTACAAAGAAACCACGAACCGGGACAGGTATTTCGAATAAATTTTGACTTTGCATTCGTTTTCTCATAAACCCATTGTGTCGTTTTTCGCTTAGTTAAGAATATAAATTGCAGAAAACAAAGCGAACCATTGCAATGATTCAGATGAATCTTCGCCGTTCAAGCCAACTGAAAGTATATCTGAAGACACAGATCATGCCTCGTCATCTCCGCAATCATCCGAAACTCCTGAGCCAGACAGAGGGCCATTAGCCGAAGAAATGAAATACTTTATTCACGCATCATTTGGAAATTCAGTCGACAAATCCGTGCACTGTCACAGTTTTTACACATGTCAAGGGAGCAGATGTAGTTCCGTCACTCAAAGTGAAATGAATCGATTACGAGCAACAAGCCAAAAAGATCGCTTCCAACATCAATGGATCCTCGACAAAAAACTCTCTTTCTGCGAAAAGACGGGTTTGAACTGGTTAGTTTATGTAGAAGGTAGGGGAATGTTTTGTCTTTTGTGTAGAAAACACGATGCAATGAATCTTCAAAACAAGAGCAAAAATTTTAACCCTGAACCTGCTATCCGCTTTAAACGCAAGTCCGTTGAAGAACACTCAACTTCACAACAACATAAAGCTACCGTAAGTGCAGAACTTTTACGTCGTGTTTCCGTCTTCCAGAAAGAGTTTGAAGAAAGAGAAAAAACAAAGGAAGATGTATATTTCAATGCATTCTTGGCTCTTTATTGGATAGCGAAAGAAGAAATCGCGAACACAAAGTTTACCAGTCTTTTGGAAGTCGTAGAGAGAGTGGGATCATCAAATATGAAATTCTTTCAGCATCGCTCAGGAGGATCAGTGAGAGAAATGTTTCTTTTGATGGGGGAGATGGTAAAATCTGAGGTTGTGAAGAAGGCACAGCAAGCCAGCTTCATGGGTCTCTTGATCGATGAAGTCATGGATATTGCCCAGAGAGAGCAGCTTGTGTCATTCAGCAGATATGGTGACCAAGATACCTATGAAGTGAAAACAGATTTCCTTGCTGTGAATGACATTTTAGAGAGC